TGAGACAGGGTCTCACTATGTGATTCAGGCTGGTCTTGAATTCACTATGTAGCCTAAGCTGGCCTCGAACTCACAGTGATCCTCCTGATCCTCCTGCCTCAGCCTCCCAAGTGCTGGGACTTGACAGGCACGGCCCACCACGCCCAGCCCCTAAACTCATTTTTTTTTTGTACCCGGGATCAAACTCAGGACCTTGCACTTGTGAAGCAGGTGGCAGAACCACTGAGCTAAATCCCCGGCCCTCTAAACTCATTTTTAATGCCTGTTGACTTCTCTCACTTTGGTAAAGTTATACATACATTTAATCCTTATACTACCTCTTCTTTCCCAGTTTCATGAATGAAAATACTGAGGATCAGAAAGTTAAGTAACATGCTCAAAATTACACAGCTAATAATGGACAAAAGAAGAATGATTCTTCTTCCTCAAAGCCAAAACTCATTCTACTACAACACACTAGCCCCACACCAACTAGCATGTGGTAGGGACTTAGTAGATGTTTATTGAATTGATATGTATTGCATTTTAAATGAAAAACACTTTAGTTGATTAATTCAATCATTCTTACATAGAAATTTATTGAATACCTATTAAATGCCAGGTGCAGAGTTTTAAATAAACTGAATACAGAGATTAACAAGATTTAGGGTCTAGTATCATGAAGTTGACAAGTGATCTCATAGGAGACATCTGTGTGAGCAAATAAAGCCATACTACAAACACATTCTTTAAGACCCATGTAACAAATGCTACAGATTCTGTAATAGAATTCACACAAGATCCCCTGGGGGCACTAAGGAAGGAATCATTACTTCTACCTGAAGTTGGGTCAGGAAATTATCAAAGTGAAATCTAGAATGATAAGTAAGATGTTCCATCTGGCACCGTAAGATAGAAATGCAGAGGCAATAATATGAACAAAAGTATGGAAACCTGAAGTAGTCTGGTCTGTTGGTGAATCTGTAAGTAGTTCAGTATGGCTGGACTGAAGAAACTAGGCATCTGAGGCTGAATCCTGGAGGACTTTAAAAACATTGACATATGTGTTCACTTTTCTAGATGATTTACACAGAATCTGCATAACATTTCGCATATTTAGTTATTGAGTCCTGTCCTGTGTGTGCCAGGCCAAGACTATCCATCACTTACGTGTATGGCAAACTGGTGACAGCGCTGAGGTAAAATGATAGGCTGACACAGAGATCAAATGCTTGTGTTGTCCTACCATCTCATGACAGCTGTGGCACCACTTGTTCACCCCTCCGGTTAATTTTCACCTCCATGGGCTTTGCCTTGACTTTTTTATGGTTCTGTTAGCACTGATACCTTTCGCCCTCTGGCAGTCCCCAAAGGGAACCCTTAATCAACTGTGTACATGTGTGTTCCCTAACTTATTCTTCCATTTTGTCAAAAGAGCAGTAAGATTGACTTAGACCATAGACACAACTATAAGCCATTGCTTCAAAACAGAACGTCATGAAAGCTGGGAGTATAGCTCAGTGACAAGACCTTGGGTCTGACTGCTATGACCACATACATGCATATACACATATATACATACATACCTACATAAATAAATAACAAAGGTTTGTTCCCCAAAATCAAGGCTTGGGTGGCAGTCCTAGGGATTGAGCCCAGGTCCTCACCCTATCAAAATGTCTTAAAAGGAAATGTTAAAAACTGCTAAGAAAATTCCAATAGAACAACAAAAAATGAGAGAAAATAAAGGACAGAGAAAAACAAGTATCAATAAGACATGGTAAGTAGGCAGACTATCATGTTAATCAGGAAAGATTTTCTGAAATAAAAATTGAAATAATTCTGAAATAAAAATAAAAATATTAGGACAGATGTGGATTGGTAAAGTGAAGGGATTTCTAATAGGGGATCATGTTGGTCAACTTTCCATTATTATAACAAATTTCTAAATTAATTAACTTAGAATAAGTTATATTGGCATATGATTTTAGAGGTTTGAGTCTGTGATTGGTTGGCCCTGTTGTTTCTGGTCTTTGGTGTGTGGTGATGCAAAGCCACTCACCTCATAGTCAGGGAGTGGAAAAAAAAATGAGGAAAAGGGCTAGGGTTGGAGCTCAGTGATAGAGCCTGTTTGTTTTTTTTGGTACCGGGGATCAAATCGGGTCCTTGCCCTTGCGCAGCAGGCACCGCAACCACTGAGCTAAATCCCTAGCAAGCCTGTTTTAAGCACAGGCCTGGGTTCATCATCAAGACCATTTAAAAAAGGAGTCATGAGTGAAAAGACCTTACTTACATCCATATTCCCTTTCAAGGGCACACCCTAGTGACTGAAAGACCACTCACCTCTTAAGAGATTTCACCATCTCTCAATAGCGCCTCTCTGGGGACCAAGCCTTTAACATGCACAGATAGATAAGATAGCATGTTGTGTGAAGAGAATAAAAATATTTACCTGGGTGAGATACAGACAAGCATGTGTATTGGGAGTAACAATGTAGTGAAGGAAGAAGGTGTGTTACTAATATCCTGGTAATGGGATAGTTGGGAAGGTAAGACTGGTGGAGAAGCTGAACATAATTCTGAGGAGAAGTCTCAGATGTATGTTGTGAAAGAATGGGGCAAATAAATAATAGTCTCTTCTCTGCCCAATTTCTGAACCAACCAAGATATAGGACAAAGAAGTAAGGCGGGTGGAGATCAAAATGTTGCTTTTATTGCTAATAAAGTTGACATAGGAAAATTGGATAAAGGCAGGTAAGGCTTCTGAATTCTGAATTTCAGCACTAGTCTCGAATAGACCCTCCTTCTAGAAAAGGGGAGGAACAGCAGAAATGATATCCGCAAGGGAAGTGAGCCTGGAGAGAGGCTTCACTGTGAGTCCAGGTTCAGTCTTCTTCCAGACACACTAAGCAGACAAATCACTCCATTCTGACAGCATGAGTCAGGGGTATGATATTCAAAAATTCATATTGTCCCATGTGAAGGGAAGCATTAAGAGTGGGGAAAGGGTTTCCTCCTCTCTTCCCCAGCTTTTTTTCTTTCTTTGCGGAAAACCAAATCTCTTCTGTTGGGACAGTGGTCCTCTGGGAATGGTCCAAGGGCCCTCACTGCACAGCTTGTTTGTTGGTGCTGCCTCTGGGGTCCTGAGGCTTTGTCACATCTGGAAGCTCTGGCGGGCTAGAGAAGGGCTCAGCTTCAAAGGTGTCATCTGCCCAGAAGGCCAGCCCCACTGTGGTTGTGGCCTGTGGCCTTGCTGTCTGGCTGGTAAAGCCACACTCACCCAGTGTTTTGTCATCATCTAGAAACTGGTCATCCTTGTACAGCCTCTGCTCTTTGGGCACCACTTGAGGATGCCCTCAACGATGTACTTCAGCTCGTACATGATGCTCGGGTCTTTGGCGACTGTGAAGATGGTGGTTTTGTGGCGCCAGATCATGCAGAACACGTCCTGGGAGCAACTGGCAGGTGCCAGTGCCCAGAGGGAGCCCTCCACAGGGCACGGAGCCCACCACCCCCACCACCTCTGGCCCGGCCTGCCTGCCTAGCCTGCTCACCTGGCCTGCTCACCTGGCCCTGCCCTTCTCCCCCATAGCTTTTATCTCTTAGTGCATTGGTCTTAACCAGTAAGTCTAGGTCACCCAGTGTATATGCCTGGACTCCCCTTCCCTCCTTTCCGCCCATGAATTATCATCAGAAGCCTCTTAATTTCCATTTCCCCTTTGAATCACCTCACACATCTAGCACAAACAGTTTAAAGGTAGAACTTCACTGGTTTTTGTAATGCATGTGCTGTTGGAAGTTCACCTGGCCTTGCAGCTTATATGCAGCAAATACTTGTCCTACTTTCTGATGTCTGAAAGGCCTGAAAGAAGAAAGTCTCTTTTGCCTAAAGTCTCATCTTTACCTCAGCCATGCCTGCTTAGGAAAAGCTGTGCCAGCATAATTCAAGGTCAAGCAGCAGCCTTCTGTACACTGAAGCCACCCAAGCCTGCTAATGCCCTATTCTCTTTGCTGAGGCCAGCATAGAAGGCATTTGCTTGCTAGGCCAGAATGGCCAGTGTATTCTGAGGCCACCTGCACAGCTGATGTATAGTTTAGATGAGCTTTCAATACCACCACCACTGACTGTGGCTTGTTTCTTGAGGATATTTGCAAAGCCCCCAAAGTCTTTGCTAAGGCTTCTGAACCTAGTGCTTGCAACCTTGTCTCTATAGAAACAGCCACTTACCTGACAACAAAGTTGCCATAACAACAGTCACCACTAAGGTCAAAATAATGTGTGGCCTATGGTTTATAAGCTTCCAGTAGTTAAAAAGCTAATGCAAGGGGCCAGGAATTTAGCTCAGTGCCACTGCGCCTGCCTCTCAAGCTCAAGGTCCTGAGTTTGATCTCCAGTACCAAAAAAAAGCTAACGTGGGCTGGGGATTTAATTCAGTGACACCATGCCTCACAAGCACAAGCACCTGAGTTGATCCCCAGTAACCCCCTCTCCCCAAAAAGCTAATGCACAAGTGTAGAAATCCATGTGATTTAATGTAAGCTTCTACATGAAAACATTTTTCCCTTCAGTAAAGTCCAAGGCCCAAAGTCCTGGCCCCAATTGAAGGGTCAAAAATTCTAGGGACATTTTATGCCATTTTATTTCATGTCTCTTTATTAAGATTTCAGCCCTATGCACCAGATGTTGAGGTCTTTGAGACCCAATAAATAGCACTGCCCTTTCCTTGACCAATCTCTGTGCCAGTTGAGAAATAAGATTTAAGAAAAAAAAAAGAGGGCCTTTGAGAGACCACAGTATTAACCTCTTATAAAGCTGTTGGGAGAGGGTGACTTACATCCACAGATAAGTAAACTTCTTAACACTGAAGTCAGAATTCAGCACTCAACTAGAAGTGGGAAGTTGTGAGGGTCCTGCATTTGTGGGTACAGGAGCCCAGGGGAATGCCTGCTCCCTGGGGGCAGCTGCTTTCAAAAGGAAGGCAGAAAGGACTGAGCTCTATATGCATTGTTTCTCCTTCTAGACTCACCACTTGGGAAAGTTTCCTTGCCTCCCCTGGGGTGGAGAAGAGGCAGCAGTGGAAGCTCAGGAGAGGGCAAGCAGCATTCCCCTTTAACGAGCAGTCACAGGTCAGTGGCGGAGAGATAACTGGGAATATAACCTAGATGAGAGTAGGTGGATAAAGCTTTGTGGGTGAGTCATCAACATGTACTTATCAGGACAGAGTACGAATGTATTATCATTCAGTCCTCAGAACAGCAGTAGTTCCCAAGTTTCCTCAGGGACACTAAGCCTGAGACAAACAGTACTTTTCTCAAGGTCACATATAAATAAGTGTTTGGAGTCTGTGTGACTCTTCACTTGCAGCTGTGGCCACGCCTCCAGATTTGTCACTGCTCCTTTCCCTTTCAGCCCTCATGGTGCTAAGGTTGCCCTCTATTGCCATCCCTGAGTGGTTTAGTATTCCTTATTGTTTTCCCCTAATTACTTCTACTCTAACATGTTGGAAAATCCAGGGCTGCCATAGTAAGGACAGTAAGCCTTGGCGAATGGGTTGGATCTAGGAGATGGTGGATTTTAAGAAATGGTGGTGCATACCAGCTACTCTCAGGGGTAAGGCAGGACAATCGAAAGTTTTTAGGTCAGCTTGGGCAATTTAGGAATTTAGAGAGAGCCTGTCTCAAAATTTAAAAGGGAGGGTGAACCCCAGTGGTAGCTCATTTGCCAGGCATGCATGAGGCCCTGAGTTCAATCCCAGTACTGCCAAACAAACAAGTCTTGGTTAAACTGAGCACAGTAGTGTGTACCCATAGTCCCAGCTACAGAGGAGGCTGAAACCAGATGATCGCTTGAGCCTTGGAGTTTGGGGACCTCCTGGGCAACCTGTTTCTGGAAGAAAGAAGGTCTTGGCCAAAGTCTCAAAGGTAGTAGTAGGAAGGATAGGGGAGGACTGGTGACAGTGTTCATTGTTGGGGACAGAGAGGAAAAGTTAAGAGAAAGAGCAGTGATGATTAGAGAAAGGGATCTGATACATCAGGCAAGTCAAGCTAGAGAAATGAGAGTGAACAGCACTGTCCATTAGCCTGGGAGCAGGAACAGAACTTCAGGGTGCCTGTAATGACTTGTCTGTGAGGTACAGTCTCTGTTTCAGCGAAGTGGGAGAAGTCAGACACTTGTGAAGCACCTTGCATACCAAATCTTTCTTAATATGCTATTGGATTCTTCCAGTGCTACAACTTTATTTTCATAGAAAGAGCAATTGTAGTTTTATACAACTGTCATAAACAGCGAGGGCAAAATTAACTAGAGAAAGCCTGTGGTGACTTGCTGTGAGCAGCAGCTGTGTGTTACAGAGGGACTAGACAGCATTGGTCTACCTGGGGGCGAGGGGATGAGGTGGAGGGAGAGCTTCTACTGTGGATTATACAGTTCACATCATGTAATAAATCCACGCTTGTTCTCCCAAAACCTTGTTAGGGGACTACGTAGATATTTTGATACCCTTTTCATCTGACAGATGCGAAAACTCAGAAGTGTCTTCTTGGCCTCATCTGGTGGCTGCAACTGAACAGATCACCAGACCCTGGTACCTTCATAAAGAGATTTTTCTATCCATAGAAAATTATATGTTTCAGGCATCTTTTCACTATAATACTTTGTAGCTATGTGCCTTTTAAAGTATTTGACAGGTTTGTGAATATTTGTACCTGTAGTATAATGGGGATTTGTTTTGTGTTACTTTGAATAATTATTTCTCACAATTATATATTTAATGATTTCATTAAAATGGTGCATATTTTTTTTCTAGTACTGGAGATTCAACCCAGGGCTTTCACACTGAACTACATCTCCAGCCCTTTTAAAAATTTTTTATTTTGAGACAAAGTCTTCTTAAATCACCAAGTCCAGGCTGGGCTCAAACATGTGATTCTTCTATCTCAGCATCCCAAAGCACTGAGGTTACAGACCTGGGCCACCATGTCTGGCTGGCATTTATTTGTACAAGTTTCCTTTTGGCACTTTCTTTTTCTCTCTGTCTTTTTTTTCTTTTTTTTTTAGTACTGGGAATTGAACCCAGGGTCCTTCTTCCTTCTACCACTGAGATATATCCCCAGAACCTTTTATTTTGCGATAATGTCTTATTTTGGATAAGGCTGGCCTCAATCTTCCTATCATCCTGCCTCAGCCTCCCAAATAGTGGGGAATTACAAATGTGTGCCACTACACCTGGCTGGCACATTTTAGTTCATAATGTTTTTAACAAACTTTCGCTTGACCTGTATTCTTTGAGAAAAAATGATTTTCTTTTGTCACATCCCATAACTAATCTAGGCTTTTATAAAAATGAATTGACATTTAGTTAGACATATTTTCTTAAAACTAAAAAAGTGGGATCAACCATTAGAGTATACCTTAATTTCAGTTACAAAAACTGAGAATGTTAAACATAAATTATAAGCTCAAGTAATCCAGCCAATTCCAGTACCCTATCCTAGTAGCCAGGCAGGGTGACCCACTGCAGCATAACTAGGTGGCGCAGAACTTTGCTCATTGGGTGTCCTTCCTGGAAGGTCAAGTCTACTGCAAGAATCATTGAAGATTTCCATTATCACCTCTGCCAAAAGCCGTGTAAGACAGAGAAAGAAGTCTAGACCCATTACCATTTCAGTGCCTTAGGCCTTTACCAGCAATCTTCCAAGGTGGGCGGATCCCCACCTCACCTCTCACACTTTGTTCTTCCCTAAGTCACAGGTGTACAGCCATGTGTACCTGTGCTCCCACGCACATTTCAGTTACTTAGGATCATTGCTTTATAGTACCTGTGGTCTCAAGGACAGAATTTCAACCTAAATTCTTGAAGAAAAAAAAAAAAGCAAACTTGTACCCTGAATTCCTTAAATATATTTTCTCTTCTTACCTTTCAGGCAGTATTTGTGTGTTTCTGCAGAGTTTTGCACAGAATCTGATCCCATGCAAACTAATGAGGGAGAAGTATCGGAGGAAAGCAGTTCCAAGGTCAGTAAACTGCTTAATGGTGCAAACAATTTGAGCAGAAATTAAATGGTAGAGAGAGTAGATGAGTAGAATGAATATTTTGTTTTAGGTGAATTTAGAAATTAGATTGGTTTCAATTAAAATCTAACTGAAGTCTGAGATTTTTTTTTCTTCTCTGTTTTTATTATGCCATATGACAAATTTAAAATAAATTTATGAATTTATGATTCATTTTTAGATTAGTACTATTTTAAGTTTTATTATGAAAGTTATATATACTTATTAAAAAGTGTTATCAAATCAGAAGTATATAAGGCAAAAAGTAAAAGCCTGTTCCTATCCTGCTACACAAAAGCAGTCTCTGGTAAGTTTTTAGTCTTTTTATTCTTTCTTTCATTCTTTCTTTCTTTCTTATTTATTTAACACATTTTAATAAATTTTATTTTATCCCATTCCCCCCCCAAGCCCCTTCCCCTCCCTATGTACAGAAGCTTTGTTTCCATTTTTTCCTTCTATTTTCACTTTTTTTCTTGTCCCTTCCTTCCTTTCTCCCTCCCTCCTCCCTTGTTCCCCTTCCCATTTGAACACTTTCTTCCCTTTTCCCAGCATCCATTATATATGAGTCCTTATTTCCACATTCAGTCTCTTACACCAGAGAAACAATGTGGTATTTAAACATGTGTGTCTGATTTATTTCACTTAAGAGTATGGTCTCAAGGTCCATCCATTTTGCTATAAATATCTGAAACTCATCCTTCTTTATGGCAGAGTAGTACTCTATTGTATAAACCACATTTTCTTTATCCATTCATCAGTTGATGGGCATTTGGGCTGTTTCCAAGATTTAGCTATTACAAACTGTGCTGCTATAAACATGGGTGTGCATATATTTCTGTGGTATGATTGGGCCTTTTTTTTTCCTTTTGGCTCTGCTGGGGAGGGAACCCAGAACCTCCTATATGCTAGGCAAGTGCTATACCTCTGAGCTATACCCTTGGCCCTCTATTACAGATTTTTAAGCAGTAATTTGTTTGGTTGGGGTTTTTTTTTTAAATCAAAACTGAAGGAATATTTTTATTGTCATGCTGTAAACATAAATAGCTATCTATGTTTTTATATGTATTTTATTTCCATCTGCCTCCATGTCCTGAATTTCCTTAGTTCTTTTGTGACCTGGACACATGGGATCCTTAGTAACTCCTATACCTCCTTCTTTTCTCCTTCAGAATTGGCTCTAGCTCTTCCTGGGAATTCCTGAGGGCTTTTAAACAGTCTTCAGCACTCGCAGCAAGCATTCATTACCCACTACCCAGGATCTACCTGAGGTAGTATCTGCCACTGCTGCCTTATTCCTTCCTAGAGCAGAAGTGAAGAGGTGTTAAAATATCACGGGAACCTTCAAAACATGCTAAATGAAAGAGGCTAGGCACAAAAGGTTACTTATTGCCCCATTCCACTAATATGACATATCCAGAATAAATGAATCTGTACACTGAGTACAGATTGGTAATCTCTAGAGGTTGGTAGAGAGAGATGGGGGAATAGGCAGTAACTGCTTAGTGTTTGTAGGATTTCCATTTGGGGTGATAAAGATGTTTTGGATCCAGACCGAGGTGGGAGTCACATATTGTAAATATGTTAAGTGCCTCTGAATTATTAATCTTAAAATAGTTAATTTTATATTATGTGAATTTCATATCAATAAGCTATTAAAATTTTTTTAAAGGAAAAAAATGTCACTGAGTTCCCATCACACTGGTCGCACACTGGTCTCTTATTCTCCTGCTGTAATTCATCGAGTTCTAGAGAGGCTGTACCCTTGTCAGCTCTGTTGTACTTCATGCACTGGGCTTCAGAGAGGCACAGCCTGTACCCTGCCTCCAAGTCTCTCTTTTACACTGCTCCTTCTTGGTCTTTTTTTTTAACACCCCTCCCATACCCACAAACAGGGTTGTGATCTAGTCTGTGGGGGAACAGATGTCACCTTATCTCTTGTTTCTTTCTTTCTCTTCTCCTCAAGTCTATTCCTTTTTCCTGTAGCCAAAATAGAGATATGTAGACATTTTTTTTTTGGTACTGGGGATCAAACTAGGGTCCTTCCACTTGTGAGGCAGGCAGCGGAACCCTTGAGCTAAACCCCCAGCCCAAGATATGTAGACTTTGATCAGATCCATGTAGAAAGATCCTGCACCTGATTGAGAGCTCATCAGAACCTAGGAGATACATGTACAGTAGGAATCTCCCTCAACACACAAAGGGCCATACATCCTGGGACTCCTGAGACATATACCCCAGGATTTCTGAGGTGTAATACACCTTTTCCCCAAACATACCTAAGTTATTAATTTATAAGGAAATCTAATGTTAAGGAAGATAGATTATAGGATCCTCTAATAATACAGTCTCTCCCTGGAAAGCTAGGTTGTAATTGGAAGATTGCTTGGTGAACATGTAATAAGACCAATATAGAATATTTTATTGTTCCTTCTACCTTCATTTTTGGAGGAAAACAAAAAAAGACTAACTTTCTTGATTTTTCAGTTACTTAATACTTTATCAGTTCAAGATCAATTAAA